TCTTAATTGAGGGAGTCATTTTTGGGCTGGCAAGAGGCTTGGCTCTGGAGGGGATCCCAGACGTCCATGGGGATGATCCCAGCTAGGACTTTGGGCAGTGGAGGAGAGGGTGCCTGAACTGGCTTTGTCCCGTAGTCAGACTGATAACTATCTTGAATATCACCATAGAACCTTCGTCTAGCGACGAATGGAGATAGAGACAGAGACCCATATTGGAGCACTAGATTGAGCTCTCAATGTCCAGTTGAAGAAAGGAAAGAGGGAGAATATGAGCAAAGAAGTCTAGATCACAAGGAGTTGGTCCATCCACTAAGACAGTGTGCCTGAGCTAATGGGAGCTCACCCAATCCAATTGGACAAGGACTGAATGAGCATGGGATCAAACTGGACCCTCTGAATGTGGCTGACAATTGGGGCAGACTGAGAAGCCAATGATAATGGCATTGGGATTTGTCTCTACTACATGTACTGGCTTTTTGGGATTCTATTCTATTTGGATGCATACCTACCTAAACCTAGATGGAAGGGGAGGGCCTTGGACTTTGCACAGGGGAGGGTACCTTGCCCTCTCTTAGGACTGGAAGGGGGAGAAGAGGAGGAGTGGGGGAGCAGGAGGAAAGTGGGAGGAGGGGAGAAAGTGAAATTTTGACTGATATTATTTATAAAGTAAGAAAAATATTTTTAAAAAGAATTCCATGAGGAGCACCTAGTATAGCTGGCATTTGAGAAGTGTGGTCAGGGAATATACCTAGAGTCAGATAGTACTGTAAGGATGTGTGTGACCTGCTTGATAAAAACAATAAAGAGAGAGAGATTCCATGGTAAAATGTCAGAAAGAGCGGATAAGAGGATACAACACACAAGGAATGTCATACTATATGGCTGCCTCAGCAAGGAATAACATGGGAATTCATAGTGATGCTGCAAAATCGAAAATCCATTCTTAGATTCTGCAGTAAGTTGATAGAATGGGGAAAATAAAACCACAGATAAATAACATTACAGGCAAAATGATCATAGTGGCTCATGATTTGCAGTATCGCCATAAAGAATGACACTGTCGCTACTGAGATAGAGTTGTTTCTGACTGGAACTCAGTCACTCACGTTAGGAAGCACATGAGTTTGATCTTATTGCTTCTCCTCCTCTAATCTGCTAAGTTAACTACTTTCAGTAACACTAAGTGGTCTATCCATGTCAATTTGCACAAAGACGATGGGTTTTAGGCTCAATTTTAATTAAGAAAAATCTTTAAGATACAATGTCTCATTAGTTTGCATGGTGTTCTCTGTAAGGTCCTGAAAATAATATTTTTATGGAAGTTTTAACGAGAACTAAATATACTTATTCTATTCATACAATGTGATATGAGTCACACCTTGACCGCATGGCAGTGCCTTTGAGGGAAACATTAGTTCACAACCCCAACACAGAGCCCAGTTCTAAATTTGCAGTCTGATGAATTACATGCTTCAACAGTTTGAAACTCCTTCACTAAAGTTTACTGACTTTAAATGTCAAGTGGTGACAAGGTCTTCTGTTGAGGGCTGGTGTTTGGATCCTGTCTGGACCCAGCACAGGCTTTACTGAGTTTACAGTCTCTTTGAAGGCTGAAGGCATAACTCACTGCCATAGCACTTGGAAAGCACACACCCAGCCCCAGCTTGTTTTTAACACCACCCCAAAAAGGGAAAAATGAAGTCATCTAGAGAGAGAAGCTGCTAAAATATAGCCACCACATCAGCTAACAGTTGTCTGCTCCTAATTTGTACTGTTTGCAAGACAAGAACAGGAATTGCATTCCATTTGTGCTGCTAAAGCACAGAGAACGTGCTACAGAGAAGTGCGTGGAAAGCTGAACCTAGAACACATATTAAGTAGTAGTGCTTGTTTCCCATCCGGATCATCTGAATTACTGTGTATGCCATAGAAATAATTCGTGTAATGGGATTTTAAAAGTTTTTATAACACCTCAAATCTATTGTTTATTTTAATGTTGATCTTGTAAGAGACTCATAGTGCATCTGAAAAATTATCTCTTCTCCGTGTTTACAGTTTACAGGGTTTTCAGTCGAAAAGTAACAGCAAAATTATGTACTTATTATATTTATAGTTAAAGAATATAAAGTACTGTGAGTTACATTACTGCTGTGTTAACCAAAGTAATGATAGTGAAAAGATCCTACAATGAGAAAAGATAAAAATCACAGTTGACAGAAGAAAAACAAAAGCAGCAACAAAAGCCAACAGGTTGCTGTAAATTGATTTTGATATTTCAGTGTTTAGTGATAAATTTGGCTGGTGTTTTTAAGCCTCTTAAAAGCTCTTATTATTATATAGTATCTATTCAAATGAAGGTTCAATTTTGAGAGGAGTAATTTTACAGGTTAAAGCTTCAAGTATCATTTCAATATTGAATTTTTGAAGCAGACTTACAAATCTTAATGTCTTTTGTAAAAATCAGTCTTTTTCTAATTTCTTCCTTCTTCTCTGTTATATGAAAAATTGCAACTAGAGAAATAATGAAATTGTGAGACAGAGATACTCGTGAAACCAATGGCACTGTCATCACGAAGTGGTACAAGCTTTGATGGGCAGTCTATATTTTAGTCAGTAGTGCCGTTCAGTCTTAAATCGCTTATATCAAAACCATGGAGGTGATATTGCTGCTAATGGTTACAATAGAATCATGTTTGCTAAATTATAAGTCAATAATGAGAATATTAATCATATCTAAAGTTTGTGGAAACGAGAATGAAAAATGAAATGCACCAATTGTGTAACGGCAGTTACACATCCTCAATGGGACTTTCAGTTTTGTATTAAGTATTTAATAACAAAATGAGATACATTGTGCTGAAGTGGAAATGCGTTTATTTCTATATGAAAATTTAATTTACAAGTAAAGTACATAAACAAAAGAGCTTGTGGCTTAGCCCTCGTTTCCCTTGTCTACGCATCAAATATTCAGTCATCGCACTTCACTTCTGCAAGTCCAAATGTTGACTGGAGAAAATAGAATGCTTAGAAAAATTAGTTTTCTGTAGGGGACAAGCATTGTGGGATGTATAAAATCTTTAAATAATAACATATCATATAAATATTGGGTTTTTTTGTCAAATTCTTGGCTGTACTTCTCTCTGCTTCCTATATTTTTAAAATACTACCATATTGAGACATATTTACCACTTTGGATAAATAATAATATGAATGGAAATGCCTGCCTACTCCTGTCTGTGATATTTTAAGTTTCAGATTTCTGTTTCTGCAAATGTGTGTGTCTTTGTGCTTTTTCTTTAGCATCTTTGTTTCTCTTAGTCTGTATTGTTCTGCTCTGATTTGTTTTTATTTTATTTTATTATTTGGTTAGATACCTGTTTGTTGTTTTTAAAGGGAGAAAGGAAGAGAGGGTGTGGATTGTGTTGTATGAAGAGCTGAGGAAATGAAAGAAGTTGTGGGAAGAGTAATCATAATGTGTTGTATGAAAAAAACAATCTCTTTTCAATAAGTAGAAGAAAGAAAGATCAAAGCCAATTAGGATAATGTCTTAAATCTCAAAGCATGCTTGGATTTGAAAAGAAATGCTGAGTGTTATACTCTAGTGAATCCTGGAGAAAACATATTGATTAACATTTCTTCATAATTAATGAATGCACCTTTAGGAAATGCTACACAATCATTTGTTGAGCTAGATACTCTATACTTCTCAAACTTTGCAGTAGGTTTTGCTTGATGGTTAACTTTCAAATGCAGTATCTGTAGACCTTCATTCTTCATAGTTTCAGATGCCTTTGTGTTGGTCAATATCCTTCCAATTGTTTGACAAAGAAACTGAGGTTAGATGAATAACCAAACCACCTTGGTTGCCTTCAGAAGGTTCTGAGTTTCCCAAATGTAGGCTGTCACTACAGATACACCTGCTTCACCTGTTCCTGACACCTGTCATGTGAAAAGAAAATAGAGCCTATGGTAGTTCTTTGGGAAGAGATTTGTGTGTGTGTGTGTGTGTGTGTGTGTGTGTGTGTGTGTGTGTGTGAAAGAGATGTGGTAGTGTCTTCTATCTATCTGTTGCTTTCATTGGTTAATTAATAAAGAAAACTGCTTGGCCTGATAGGGCAGAATTTAGATAGGCAGAGTAGACAGAACAGAATGCTGGGAAGAAGGGAAGTGAGGCAATCGCCATGCCTCTCCTCTCTGGGCAGATGCCTTGGAGCCAGCCGCAAGGTCAGACATGCTGACTCTTTCCCGGGTTAGTCAAGATGTGAGAGTAAGCCAAGAAGAGGCTAGATACAATGGGTCAGGCAGTATTTAAAAGAATACAGTTTCTGTGCTATTATTCCGGGGCATAAGCTAGCCAGGTGGCCAGGAGCTGGGCGGTGGGAAGTGGCCCATTGCTCCTTCTACGTGTGTGTGTGTGTGTGTGTGTGTGTGTGTGTGTGTGTGTGTGAATAAAAGGATATCTGGATACTTTAGCCCATTTCTCACTTAAAATAACATTTTTTTTTCATTTCTTTCCCCTACAAATGTAAAAGGAGGTGTTGTGTGTATATGTCCGTATATGCGAGGTTACATGTTATACATGTGTGTTGAAGCTCAAAGTAGATTCTTGGTCTCTTTGTCCATCACTTTCCACTTTATTTCCTGTGGCAGGTTCTCACCTGACCAGAAGCCTTTTTCTTGTATAAGTCTAACTAACTAGATTGCTCTAGGGATCCCATATTTCTGGAGTCCTGTGATTCCAGGAGGCTCCCCACATCTGCTACCTTTTCTATGTTTTCTAGGATCCATTCTTTAATTCTTATCTTTCATGGCAAGTGTTTTACCTACTTAGTTATCTCCTCAAAGCACCATAACAGTGAATTTTTAAATAAAAGAAATGAAAAGCATTATTTTCATGCTTCTGATGTGAGACGATGAAACTTCATTACTGGAGAAGAAAGTATATCTTTGTCTCTGTAGTGTTCTTCACAGGTTTCTAAATATTTTTTTTTTATTTACAGGCTTTTCCTGGAAATGTCAATTCTGACAGTGTAGTCCGACATGACCTGCAGCATGCCATTGTTGCCCGCTATGTCCGCATCGTGCCCCTGGACTGGAATGAAGAAGGCCACATAGGGCTACGTGCAGAAGTCTATGGCTGCTCTTACTGTGAGTGCCAAATGCCAAAGTTACATTGGTATCATGGGTCAACATCGTTGAAGTTGCAAACTTTATTTTAAAGTTGCTTACACTTTTTAAAAATGAACTGTCACACACTTATGTATGTACATAGCACTGGGTTGTTTTTCATATTTTAGGATATAAATATATAACACATATATGCATCTAAGGATATATTAACTGAGTGCTGAGGAGGTGAAATGACTGTCTGGACTGTGTTAAATCCCGAGGTCTGTTCTCAGGACCTCATTGCTAAATGTGGTGTTGATGCCTGCAATCAGAGCAAAAAGCGTGAAGAGACAGAAAAATCAGAAATTCAAAACCATCCTCAGTTACATAGTTAGTTTGTGACAATCATGAGCTGAGATGAATGAGATTTTGTGTCAAAAAACATTATTTTAAATAGAGTGCATTAAGAGAGGGAGATAGAAGTGATTTTGCTTACTGCACTGAAGTAAGTATTGGTTAAAATGAATTAATTCTTATGAATTATTTAAAAGCAGGTGATCTACCCAAGATCCACCCCTCTGGCATTTGGTAAAGAGTTAAGATTCATTTTTCAAGGCTTCCTTTGACTCACCATGCCCCTTGTCGTGACTTGTCATTCTTCTTTAGATGGCAAAAACTGGAAATTTTAAGGTTTTTGAAATTTTTATTTGTGTGTGTGTGTGTGTGTGTGTGTGTGTTTGTAAGAATGTGTGTGTCCCGTGTGTGTATGTAGTAAAGGACAACAATTTGGAGTTGGTTTTTTTTCTTCCATCATTTGGTAATGAAGATCTTAGACTGTCAGGCTTGGTGACAAGAGACTTTAGCTGCTGAGAGAGTCCGTCAGCCTCAACCACTGGGTTATGTTTTTCACCTTTTTTTTTTTTTTTTTTTTTTTTAATTTTTCGAGACAGGGTTTCTCCGTAGCTTTTGGTTCTTGTCCTGGAACTAGCTCTTGTAGACCAGGCTGGCCTCGAACTCAGAGATCCGCCTGCCTCCGCCTCCCGAGTGCTGGGATTAAAGGCGTGCGCCACCACCGCCCGGCATGTTTTTCACCTTTTAAGTTCAATTTTACGTATAATGTTTCTTTTTATTTAATTGTGCTATAATCTCCATCTTTAAAAAGTTCTTAACTATATCACACTTAAATCTAATCTATCCAATATGTGGATTTCGGGGATTGGAAGGCTGCTATCTGTTTTCTCTGCTTGTGGTAAAGTGGGCCACCCATTGTCCAAGATTTTCCACAGGAGTGTCAGTAGGTATCTAAAAGTGTAGTGGTGTTGAATCTTATATACACAGCTGTTCATTATGCACACACATCTATGATAAAGTTTGATTTATAAATTAGACATGGTAAGGTATTAAGAGATTTGCATTACTAATGAAATAGCACAATTAAACAATTTGCTGTAACGAAAGATGCTTAAACCTCAGAAGTCCTTTTTTATTTCTGTAATTTTATATTGAATACTTTAGGAAATAGTTGAATGTGGGGCACTGAAACCTTAGAAATAAAAACATCAGATAAAAGAGAGGAAACTAATGTATTTCTCTTTCTCTTCTGCCCTCTTCCTTCCCTTTCTTTCTACCTTGGCTGCTCCTTAGCTTTCTTCTGGGCCTCCTTATCTCCCTGTCTTTGTATTTACATCTTCTGCCTCCATAGGTTCCGAGTCACATCAAAACTCTATCTGCAGAAGTTCCTTTAGGTCAAATCTGAGGATGGATTCTTTTAAAGAAGATATGTATTCACTTATTTTCTTTGTGAATTCTTGCTAACACAAAGCCACTTTAAAGATTGCTGAATTTTGAAACTACTGGACAATAAAAATTTTATCTGCAAACACTGGCTTCATAACATTAAATTTACAGTATTGTATTTTCCTGTCCACTCAGGACATGTTTTTCTTATGCTGCCAATTGCACAAAGGAGAGAAAATGTTGGGAAAGATAGGAAGGGGAATTGGTTTATCAGCTTCTGCAAGAAATATCCAGTTATACTTTTACCTATCATTTCTTACAGACACATAAACATAAATCGTCACTATAACCATAAAGTGCAAAATTCCTTCTTTAAGACTTTAAAATTAATGGAATACTTAATATTTCATAATAAAGAATATGTAAAGTTTTCATGTCTATGAGAATTTAGTTGCAAAGATTCTTTCAAGCAGTAGTTACAGTAATTACAGATATAATGAAACAGTATCTTCTGAGTTCAGAGACAAATGCTTAAGAATGCAATAAAGTGGCCAGGAAAATTATTTAAATATTCATCCATTAACATAATTTGCTCATTGCATTATAAACACATATATCTATATATTGCATATATAATGAAAATTGGGACAGATTTAACTTATTGGGAAAATGTAACATTTGAAGGAAATGAGTTAGATCTTTGGGAGAAGCCAACACAGAACCCCAACATAAATTAAGGTCCTTTCTACTGTGTTTTATGGTATTCAGGGACACAGAAGACGAAGCATCATCCAATTGGTTTATTTTATTAAAATCTTTGTTAGAAATAGCCATATTTTGAGATATTAATTATTCACTCTTATTCTACATATAAACTAATATTCAAATTGATAAGCATTGAGTTGTCTTTAGCTTTTGTTTGCTTGGTTTAAGAGTTGCTGTTAGTGTTTCTGATGGTATAGATACAGAATTTGTGAAACCCAGTGTGACATAGGTCTTCCTATCTTGGCATCAGAACAGATATGATTATCTGTATGAGACTCTTACAAGATTTGCTCCATTTGTTCTGTTGGTGCTGAGGGATGAAATAGGCAGTGCATATGTTCAATGGGTCCTTTTACTCTGAAGTATATATAAGCTATTAGCATGGGCTGTTGGAGAGAGACACTTCTTCCTTGTTGTTTCTGCCTATAAGTTGATCATATCATTAAATTCATGAGTTCCTCAAGGTTAGCCTTGGGTAGAGTTATCATTTTAGTATGTCCTCATTTTATTATGTACAGTGGAAAGATGCTTACTTTTGCCTCCTTAATAAAGAAAATACAAATAGAGGGTATGGTATCATATTAATGTGTGGTGTGCATGCATGCTTGAGTGTGTGTGTGTGTGTGTGTGTGTGTGTGTTTGTGTGTGTGTGTGCTCAACTTTGGTCAAATGGACTAAAGATTTTATAAACTGGATGTATTTATTTACATCTTCACAAGTTCTGTGAGAATTCCTGTTCGTCTACAAATCCAGATGTTTTAAAATTAATTTTGAGGTTTTAGTACATGTTCATTACATATCATTTAGCTTTAGTGATGAGTGTCCTGACATTTTAGAGAGGTTAGAATTGTGGATCACTACTGTTATCTTTTTTTGAAGTATTTATTAAAAATATTTGCTCGGTTTTATGTGGGCATAAACTTCTAACCAAACTTCAGACTTAGCGAGTTGTTTGGAGGAAGCTAGTATGTGGTATTTTAACCTACTACAATTGCTGAGAAGGGGAAAGGAGGTAAGCAGGTAAAATATAGAAGCACCTTTTATCCCAGGTATGGCTTCTTCAATGGACCAAGCTGCAATGCAGTATTGATTTGACAGAGCCTTGATTTCAATGATGTCTGTCTCAAAATGGCTCCAAATGATTTCTGTACTGCAAAATAAAGCCAAACTCTGGAAAAAAAAATAAATAAAAATATTTGCCCATATTTCTGGCTGCAGTCCTTATTAATTAATTAATTAGTCAGTTTTAAATGATCAAAGCTTTTTCTCTCTCATTTTCTCTCTCTCTGTCTCCCACAGAGCCCTTATTATGAAATCTAGACATCCCATGTTTAATGTTTTTCTTTAGAAGTAATCATTTTAAAATATGTAGTATAACTGAGGTCATTTAACATTCACAGTAAAAGAGAGTCTTCTCAGTTGTAGTTTAAATATGACAACATGCTCTATAGTCATAGAAGTCCAAATTTAAGATGTAGAGTCTGTTCTCTCAGGGGAATTTTCATCACACCTGTGCTTTGACAATCGCAAGACAGGAAGAAGAAATAGCTGAAACTAAACAGGAAGCCAAACTTTCCTAGGAGAAGCCTTCCATGGAGCAAACATTATATATGTTAACATTTATGTCAATAAATATCAATGCAGTATATGATAAGTGAAAACATAACATTAAATAAATATAAGATAGAAATTGAAAAATAGCATTATAATTATTTAGGTAGTAGTCCCCAAACACATTAGAGCCTGATTCTTAGAACCTAATTCCTTGCTAAAACTATGTTTGAAGATGTGATCGGCAGTCCTGGCACAAGGAATGCAGCATGCATTACCTGGGTGAGAACTACCTTCCCTTAGGTCACTCAGCACAGGTAGAGGAAGAGGAGGCACTGTGGACCCTGACACCAGAATGGCAATAAAGTAATTGCCTATCAAAAAACACTGCAGTGACCAAATGCTGTAGGAAAAAGAGGAGTCAGCTCAACCCTTTGATAGAGTGTGGCCTTGCCCACACCTTGATTTCATCCCTAGGAGACTAATCGCTGAATCCTGTCTCAGGATAATAAAAACAAAACAAACAAAACCAAATTCAACCTTCTAGATATGAACCGAAGTTTGTGATTGTTCTTCATAGCTCAAACAATAAAGCCATGCTAGCGACAACATGATGTTAGCAAATCAATCTTTACAAGAAGAAGCTCTCTAGCAGTGCCCTCCAGCATCCTCCAAATGTTCCCTGCCTGCTCCAGGGACTGGCCGCAACTACTTATCAAAGGACTCAACATCCAACTTTGACAACCAAAAGAGTTAACTTTGTAGTTGTTTAAAAACTTTGTGGATACGAATTTAAATAATGTGACTTCTGGCTTCATGTTAGAGTGAGGAGTTGGAAGAACAAAGCCCTCTTTGCTTTTCCTTTTATGTTGGTGTGATCCAAACAACCCATAACTGTTGTTTTATTTTATTTTTAAATAATACCCTCTCAGCTTTTTTTTTTTCCTTAATAGTCTGAGGAACTCATTGCTGTCTAATTGGTGATG